ATCAATTAAGAGGTGGCTAAGCTCTTAATTGCATTAAGCACAATAATTCATAGACTATATGGAAATCACAATCTTGGATAAATAAAAAAGATAAAAATATATTCATTAACATGGTTAGGCTTTCCATAGCCCTAGCAAGAAACAAATCAGTTCATAATAGAAGAATTAAACCAAACAAAGGGAAAGGAAGAACTCTTGAATTCGCCCATGGTGCTGAGATCTCCTCCTCTTGCCGCCACCTTCTTCTTGAGATTTCTTCAATTCTTGAACCTTTCTTGAACCCTTTTTGACTAATTGCTCCTTGCTTCTTGATTCAAATCCGAAATTCAGTGATTAGTGATGCCTAAAGCTGGTCCACCCCCTACTTTATATAGATTAAAGGGGAGGGGGTGGTCTCCTACTTTCTCTTGAAGTTGATCTTTACAAGAAATAGAAAGTCCTATCCTAATTCTAATCTTATCTCTTTATCTCTTGAATTCAATCCCTTTATCACTCTAAGATTACATCAAGAATTTAGATCTAGAAGGATTCTTCTTAGTTTCTTGTTCTTGGATTCGTAATAGACCTCCTCTACATATTGGGCTTCAGCCACAGATTGGGCCTTCCTACGAATTTTCCCCGACTTCGGGCCTGGATTTGACTTCGATGCAGGCCGAATTTGTGAAAGCCCAAAAGATGAAAGTTGTGGCTTTTTCTCTTATCTTTCTAGTCGGTCTTGAATCAGCCCATTCAGAGTTTGGAGACGCGAGTTAGGCCTAGATCACTGAATGATGTCGAAACTGTGAAAAATCATCCAATTTGTCTTTCTTTGCTCTTGATGCCTTCTTTCATGTCCTGAACAGAAATATGAGTCCAATTAGGTGTTAATTCATTATAAAAGACAGAGTAATTGGGGATAAAAATATGATAAATTCTACTCTCATAACTAGAAAGGCTAGGAATGTTTCTGGAGATCTCTTCCTTTTTGTTCCCTCTAAAAAATCGCCCCTAACTAGAGCTTGATTTCTACCCTATTTCTAGAGAGGGAAGGAAGGGGCAGGTCTAAAACTTGTCCACCAAGTGTCTAAAGTTTTAGAAAAGCCTTAACATGTAAGGAAACTCAGTTGGTCCTGACATTTCAGATTTCAAAATGACCGAGAAATCGGTTCTTGGATTGGATTAGAAAATTTTAGAAAACTGTTAGCCACTAAACCTGGTTCGGCCATGGAAAATATGATTTCTAACCCTTCCAACATAGTGAAGATGTTATAGTAGCTATTATGGATTTCTTCTAGGGTATGGATCTTTGTTTGAATTACACTTGCATATAATTCCTTAATTCCTAAATGCCAGAACCCACAAAATTTTGTTGATTATAGACATATCAGTGAATGTAAGTTCTCCTATAATATTTTTTCCAAGATCATGGTTGATAGACTAAGTGGTCTTCTTCCCAAGTTAATCTCCCCATAGTAGGTCGGTTTTATCAAGGGCCAAATCATCCTTGATAACATCAATCTTACTCAGCAAATGATATAGGAGATTGACCGTAAAGTAAGGGGAAACAATATTATCATTAAATTACACATGGTAAAAGGCTATGATAGGCTTGACTTTCTCTTCAAGATGCTGCCTAGATTCGACTTTTCTAATTCTTGGATTGATCTAATTCGTAAAGTTGTCATCAATTGATGGTCTCTCTTAAAGTTGGAGACACTTTGCATGGTTATTTTAAATCTACCAGGGGCATTAGGCAGGGAGACCCTTTATCTCCCTACCTTTTTATCATTGTTGAAGAGGTGTAGAGTCAAGGTAATTCTCATTTATTCATTACCAATCCTGAGCTTTTCTATCATGTACCGAGAGGTTGTTGAAGAGGTGATGCTTCAGAAATTTACCCTTCGAAGCAACCCTTTGTCTCCCTACCTTTTTAGCAATCTACCCTTTCATTTATTTAAATTAAAAAAAAAAACAATTGAAAGTACACATCTTATGTTCGCAATAGCCAATGTTGGGCCACATTAACCATGCACCATGAATTAAGAGATTTCCAACTTGCAAATGAATGGGCAACTTATTCTTTAAACTATTTTATTGTTTTTTAAAAAATATTTTAACCTATTTTCATTGGTTCAGTTCTTGATCATTAAGGTAGTAGATGGTTTTCTTTTCCTTATTCCCACTATATGGTGGGTTAATTTTTCATTTCCGTTACCTTAAAGCCCACATCATTGGATGGCAAGATATCTGCAAGAATAAGTGATATTTTTTATAGTAGTTCATTGTAARGWTTTYARCRGTTRAAGGARCTRAAGTTRGATTTATCATATAGAAGTTAATTCTTGCAAAGGTAASRAGAATTCAAATAAAATTTTGATGAAGGTAACTAATAAAAATTATTAATTTTATTAATGAACCATAATAAATAAGAATAATAAGAATTTTATTAGTGATAAATAAGAATAATAAAAAAATAAGAATTTTATTTATTCTTGTTACCTTTGCAAGAATTTTATTTGGACATATCTTTATATTCATGAACCATAATAAATGTGATAAATAAGAATAATTTTTATAGATGTAGAAATATAAAAAAAATTGCAAAAAAAAATTGGAAATATATTATATACTATTATCATCAAAAAATTTGTCACATACAAAGCATTCACACAAACACTAGTCTAATTACAAGCTAATCCAATTTGTATTAGGACTTTATCTTTAATTATCATGTGATATCTTAACTAATCATATTAGTAATGGGATATAGGCCAATTTTCTTTAATGGTTCACATCCCAAGGTGTTGCGTTGGTACTGAATATTGTATAGCATGAGACCCACAAAGGTTTCACACAAGTTCATAAGGATTTGGCCCCACCTCTGGACGAGGTTAGGCCAAATTCATTGCTCAATGGCAATGAACCCCTAACCCAATCAGCTTGAGCTCATTTCTTATGCAACTATGCAGATAAGATATCTGGACAAACAAAGATGAAATTATCACTTGGAAAATATGAGGCAAAAGGTGTAATTGAAATTAGAGTCACAAAATTTGGAGGAAATGTTTAGAGGTGTATCTAAAGACACTGTCTTTAGAACGTTATTTGCCCCCACATAGTTTTATTGATTTTTCTATTAGATTACCGACAAATTTGCACCCATGATACAACAGAGCCTTGGGTGAAAAACCGCGACCAATAAAGTTGAAGAATCTCCGAAGAAACCTTTAGTGAGATGGTAGCAGATTGAACTAACAAAGACAACAATAGTTCAGTAAGATGGATTGAAAAACTTGTGTGTCAAGCGACTTGGTTTACACCCTTTAAATAAAATCTAGTGAGTCACTTTGAAGATGGATGTGTTGCTTTGAAGGGTCTCTTTGTATAGTTACGATTTCAAACTTTGTGACTTCTCAGTTAGTTAACGTTTAGTGACCGTTAATGTTAAAATATTGTCCCTTGATCACACTCGATCAAATCATGATTGTTGGATTAAATTAAAACATCAACGATCATGCTTAATCCTTCAAACCAAACACACATTTATGTGGCTCAAACTAAATGCGATTTTGAAATTTCATAAATTTTTACAATTTGCGATTTATGATTTTGTAAATCATACATCTTTTGATTTGCAATATGACTTGCGATTTTGGAAATCACAAAGTCTATGAGTTGTGATTTTTGCAACTCGTAATGTCTATGATTTATGATTTTACAAAACTCATAGTCTGCGATTCTAAAATTGTAGTCTGCAACTAATGTGTCATTGCAAACCTTCTCATCATACTAAAAACATAGTCAGCTCTCACAAGCCACGTGGGTGCGCAAAAAGTGCGAGCAAAGTGTGCCTCCAAAGCGCTTCATTGCAACACAAACACGTGCGTCACATAGTAGCAAGCCTCTATACTCTTCTTTATAACTTTAATGTAAACAAACTCCTACTTAAAAGCTCAAATCAGTTTCAGTAATCTTTCAATGTGGGACAAGGCTTAAAAGAAGAACAAACAAGTTAAAATAGAGTTTTTGTTGGGAATTTTAAAACCAATTTTCAATGTATTCATGTGAAGTAGGATTTTCCATGTAATTTATCAATCAAACCCCATTGGATTTTAATCTTTTAGAGAGATTAAAGTCCAAGAATCCCCGACTTTGATTGATCAATTACATGAGTCTCTCTCAGTCCAACTATTGTAACATAGTTATGCATACAAGAAGGTGTTTTACAACTTAAACCTTCAATTAGTACAGATATATCAAAGTCATGTCAAAGTTACCGGTGGTAAGACCTTAAATCAATTACTCTCAAGACAAATCGGAAATATCTTACACATAGAAATGTCTTGTCTGTACAAAATTTTTAAATTTTTGCTTAGCACTGCTATAGACATATTCTTCTTTCCTAGTTTCATGAACAATCCCAAGAGCAAACACAAGCTCTTGGTAACGGACAACACTATTTATGCTTGTCAAGTTTCGTTACTTGACACATTTTTGAATTTTATTAAGAGTTTAACTCAACCTTTCATCGTAACGGACAACACTATTTATGTTGTGAAGTGAAATCTCTCAATGTTGTTATTATTATTATTATTATTATTATTATTATTATTATTATTATTATTACAAACTTGAGGTTGGTCTCAATCTTCTCCCTGTTATCTACAAACTCAAGCCCATTTTTAATTTCAGTTACAAAGACAAGACCCTTGGATGTTCAGTATGGGTTTTGTTCAACTTTAATCCTGACCTGAAGGTACTCCAGCCTAACCAGAACCTGACTGAATGAAATGGAAATACACATACCACCCAACCCTATTGGATCATAACCAATTCCAACCCAACCTAACTCAAGAACAATAGCTCCATTCTTAATAATGGCTAATATATACACATTTTTTCAATGTCACTGTTACTTTGAAGTTTTGTGAATATTTCATTGTGAATAACTATCACTAGTTGTGCACACCTAAAGGTTTATGGTGAACATAATTTCAGGCTTCATTTAAAGAAAGAAACATAATTACTAGTAACAATAGAGCCCAA